GGTAGTGCTACGACAATGGTGACTGGTCTTCTTGCTGCGAGCCTCAGCCTACACCAAAAAAGGGCGCAGAACACTGGAAGGGGCAGCATCCATGGCACGTTGGTAGGAATCCCAATTTGTCGGTCACCGACGTGACGTCAAGAGTGACCGACTGAAAGAGTGAACGTCTGCTGTACCATCGCTGAGCGGCCGGGTCACCGGCACGGCTCCTCAGTGAAAACCTGGTATGCGTTGCATTGGCTGCCTTTTTATGCTCACACTGTGATCAGCGGCAGCTGGATGCAATTATCATGCCAATGACCATTGGCTTGGTTAGTTTACACTCGAAGTAGATAGGTCTCTCGAAGCGAGATCCCAATTCGTCAGTCACCGAAGTGACGTCTCCGTTCCCTCCTTCAGGGAACGAGGGTTACATGCGTAACCGAGACGTTCCATAATGTAGGCCTAAACAAAAATAATAAGAATATTTATTTATTTATCTATTTTTGTATTTTTGTATTTTTTTTTATTTAGCATTACAGTGATGATCATTTGGGATATGTTTAATTGTTATGAAAATGCCTTAATGCAAAAATCTGACTTTTTCTAAAAATGTACTTTAGTCTCTTTCATTTTTTCCATGTGATTTTGCAGCAAAACATGATTCAGACATTTCCAGACAGATTTTGTGAGATTCACCTTGTGTGACACAAGAAATATCTCTATATTTGTGTGTGTGTGTGTGTGTGTGTATTTACAACTGTACAAATGTCATCAATACAAGCGTAAGCACCCGTATCTATTATGACAGCCAGTGGAGGGGTTTTGGGATGCTGGTGATAATTTTAGATTCCTCAGAAAAGCTCTGAGCTGTCCTGAGACAGAGTCAAACAGACAGGCATGAATGGAAGAGGAATATGCTAAAGCTAATGACCTAACGTCTCAGCATCATGACCACACAGACCAAATACAGCATCCCATACTCCAGCGCAAATGCTCACATTCTCCCAGCAGAAGACCACGAAACAGTCATGCATGTTTCCTCTGTTGGCTCTGAGCGCATCAAGCGTGCTGTAGAGGTTGGTTGAAATTCATGTCGAAAAATCTTTGCTCGTTAAAATTCATAATGACAGCTCCATATTGCTCTTAAATCTGCCTTACAGTTATTGAATTGTAATTTCTGAACATTGCACAGACATGGAAAATGAAGTGAAATCACAAAAACTGCAGATCATTTTAAATAGCACATGGCATGGAGATTCTTACTGAAGATTGTGTGAGAATCTATGTCCATTATGTTTTATAGAATTTAACATACAAAATACATTAATTAATTAATTTAGATAGATAGATATTTAATATGTAAAACTTAAAATGTTGCTACTGTATTTTTATGGTAAAGTTCTGGCAACCACAGCTGCTTGATTTTTTTGCTTTTTGTTTTTTCTACTATAAATTTCACAAATGTCTTTTTTTTTTGCAGTGTAGCAAGCATCACTATAATTGTTCCCACAGGACTGTGCTAAAGGTATGGTTCCTCAAATCATGTGTGTGTTGACGAGAGATGTGCTTTTACTTTACTAAGTGATCACATGCACCATTTTCACTTTGTTTTCACAAGGCGAGAAAATCCCACAGATGCACATCGATGGAAGGACTCGAGTCATAGAGAGCAGCATATAAGAGAGATTTGGGGGTGAAAAAACACCCAGAAAACACAGTAACCACCCAGCAACTTCCATAAAACTATGCCCTAAACCCCACTGAACACCTCCAGAGCCCCGTATGCTGAAGATGAAGGTCATGTAATCGTACTCAACCCTCCACATTCCCTGCTTACATTTGGAAGATTGATTGATTCTGAGAGGAACATCAAATCAACAATTAAATCTGATTTCACTCTCAGCATAATGCATTAAATATAATCTATTAAAGGTCAATAATGCTGAAATATGAGTGTGTTGGTTCTCTGCTTTGACACTGACTTCTCAACATGGCAGAATATAATTACAGTGGAGGGAAAGCAATCACACATTCTGGAGGGGATTGACTATTAATTTTTCAAAACTCATTTTCTCATGTGTCTGAATGACTTTGGGAATACATTTTCTCCCTCAGCCAACAAAAATAGATTGTCAGGCCTATTTTCATCAGAGGCGAAGAAAAGGTTTTTGGCAAGGTGTACTTTCCAGATGATTTTTCACATTCATATCATCAGGCTCTCAAATCTATTTCTTCATTTGCGCTGCGTCCCTGGGTGAATGTGTCACGCTGTTCATTACATGTAAATAGATTTCTACAGAGGAATCAATACTGGCCTGATGAAGCAGCCCTCGTTCCTTCTCTCTCTCTCTTTCTCACACACAGAGAGAATTATTTTGATTATACATGGATGTGTGTGTGTGTGTGTGTGCTGCATTTACAAATTATATACAGCAGAACAGAAAGCAGTACTACAGTAAAAATGAATGGATTATACGCTATTATTACTTATAACACCTGACAGCTTTAAATGATCTGTATTATATTATTCTTTATATTAGTTCATTATTATAATGTAATATTACATTACTACATTTTAACATAATGCATTAGTTTGTCATGTTCACTAACTTTTTGTGATGCTACAAGCATTCGGAATATGAACATATTGTAACAATATTTAAAAATTCTATCACTGCAAAAAAATATTTTTTTTTAATCATTTTTAACTGTTACAGGATAAAATGCTACAGTTAAAACCTGTTAAGTTGCTTTACCATATAAAGTGATGGTTTAAAATCACAATATATAATTTATTTATTCTATATAGAATTTTTCTGTAAAATAATTTTTAAAAACCCTTGAGGGTTAAATATAGACTACCAGTCAAACGTTTTTGAAAAGCAAGATTTTTATGATTTTCAAAGAATTCTCTTCTGCTCACCAAGTCTGCATTTATTTGATCCAAAATTTAAAAATACAATTTTGAAATATTGTGAAATTGTTTTACTATTTAAAATAACTGTTTTCTGTTTGAATATATTTCAAAATATAATTTATTCCTGTGATGCGCAGCTGTATTTCCAGCATCATTCCTCCAGTCTTCAGTGTCACATGATCTTCAGAAATCAGTATAATATGCTGATCTGCTGCTCGAGAAACATTCCTGATTATTATCAATGTTGAACACAGCTAAGCAGATTTTTTTCAGGTTTCTTTGATGAATAGAAAGTTCAGAAGAACAGCACTTATCTGAAATATAAATCTTTTGCAACATTATAAATGCCTTTATCATCACTTTTGATCAATTAACAACATCCTTGCTAAATAAAAGCACTAATTTCTATAATTTCTTTCCCAAAGAAAAACTAAATTATACTGACTCCAAGCTTTTGAATGGTATAGTGTATAATGTTACAAAAGCTTTTTTTTTTTTTTAGATAAATGCTGATCTTTGGATCTTATCAAAGAATCCTGAAAAAAATTTACTCAACTGTTTTAAATATTGATAATAATAATAATCATAATTATAATCATAAATGTTTCTAGAGCAGCAAATCAGTGTCACTGTGGCATTGCTTCAGATGTTCAGAAGCTGCTTCGGATAAAAGTGTCTGTTAAATGACTAAATGTACATCTGAGAGCCTTTCATTAGTGTGTGGAGATCAGCGTGATGGTGATGGTGAAGCTTGATGATGGCAGGCTTGATGAATCAGACGTCCTGATATTTCAAGGGCAATCAGTCGCAAATCTCATTTGTCCCACTTTACTGGATACCCCACACTTGCTGAACACAATATACCAAACACGTACATATATACCTTTTAACCTTTGCATAAAATAATTTGATTTATTTCTACATATTCACACCTGTAGTACTTGGTTTCAGAAATGCACACATCATTTTACTTGCAAAATATCTTCTTATTTCTATGAATAACTTTTGTTATCACATGCTGGAGCCTCAGTCTCTAGGAGGGCTTGTGAAGAGGGTCTGATAGTAGCATGTGAGTAAGAGAGAGAGAGAGGGAGGGTAAGACAGGAGGACATTGTGTGGAGCCTGTGGGGATGAGACGCATTATGTAACCTCAGCTTCTGCTCACATGCCAGCCAATGTGACTCCCAAATATCTGCAGAAAACAGCGAGGAGAAAAGTGGGACGGAGGTGAAGTGAGGGAGGAGCCGAGCATGCGATGCTGCAGGGACAAACACAGACACACGTCGCACTTTAGCTGTACTGATGTGGTCATGGCCAGAGTTATGATGTCCCCACGAAGCCCCAACATCCTCTGCTTGTTGATTTTGCAGTGTGTGCTCTTTCACATGAGGTGAACTGGGAATGTGACGCTGTTGAGCTACAAAAAGGACAAAAGGCACCATTCATGAATAACCCAAAGTGACAGCACACCTAAATAAAGACATTAATTATAGACCTCTGTTGTTTTTATAAGCAGCTAGTTATAAATACGATAATAGGCTAATTAACCTGGCATTTTCTGCATTTTACAACACACACACACACACAAATCCTAGGTGTTTCACCCATATTTTGAATTACAAATTGTCTTGTGTTTTGGTAAACGTAATGGTGATTTTCTGCCATTTTTCTTCTGATTTGTTATTTATTTTTTCTTACGGTTTACTATCCTATTTTTCTACCATTTCTGCAAATGAGGATGTCCCCAAAGGGAGGTTTTGTCATATTTAGATCACTCTTTGCATACAATGTTGTCCCCAGAATATGGTAAGAGTACACATATACACACATACACATTTACATGTGTCCATGCTGTACTCTCCACAGGCGTAATGGTTTTTCTACTGTACAAACTGTATTTTTATCCCCTACCCCTACATTTTAGATATTGACATCTTTGTGGGGACATTTTGTCACCATAACATAGGGAATACACACATACACACGTTTATGTATTTCTTCTAGATTTATTTTACCAATTTGTTTTGAAAGGATGTTTCCTATATGTTTGCCATTTTTGCCTTATTTATTAATAATAATAATAATGAAAGACTGATTTACATAGTTTAGGGATAAGATTAGATATCTACATTAATTTGTTCCAGAAGAGTAGGCTCTCAGGAGAATTCCCCCGCTCTCCCAGAGGAACACATTTCATTTGTCATCAGATTCATTTTAAACTAGAATAATTCTAATAATATACATTTCTCAAACATGTATTTTGCATCACCTGTTTAAAAAAAATTTAAACACTCATAGCATTTTGTGTAACTCAAAGAAAGTAAATAAAGTGACAACAAATGTATTATAATATATTGCATTATATTATTGTATATGTATTAACATTATAAATGTATTATATATATATTATATATATATTATAATTATTTTTTTATACTTTAAGGTAGTGTATATTACAGTAAATTAATTGCAAGAGTTGTTTTTACAATTAGTAATATTTTGCCTGGTAAGGCAGAGACACAATGTACCCAGCAGGTGTCACCATTGCCTGTGTTATTTAGAGAGAGACTGAGCGAGAAGCACAGGTTGGAAAGAAGGTCTAAAGCAAGGAATAGTTTATGCAAACGTGACAATTATTTCATGTGATTTTCTTCCTTGGAGTAACACAACACATGTTTTGTAGTACGTCCAAGTGGCTATTTCCCATTTAATGAAAGTGTATGGGGATGAAAGCTGGCGAGCCTCAAAAAATGGCAAAAAGCCTATTAAACTAGCCCGTATGACAATATATTTCCAAACTTCTGTAGTCAAACGAAAGCTTTACGTGAGGAACTGACACATTTGTGACCCTGGACCACAAAACCAGTCATAAGGATCAATTTGTTTAAATTGAGATTTATCCATAAGTTTTATAATAAATAAGCTTTCCATTGGTGTATGGTTTGTTAGCATAGGACAATATTTGAAAATCTGGAATCTGAAGGTGCAAAAAAATCTAAATATTGAGAAAATCATCTTTAAAGTTGTTCAAATGAAGTTCTTAGCAATGCATATTACTAATCAAACATTAAGTTTTGATATATTTACGGTAGGACATTTACAAGATATCTTCATGGAACATGATCTTTACTTACAGTTTTTTTTTCATCTGCTTACACACTAAATCTTTCCTTGTCACACAGTTTCTGAAAGCTGACACGCAAACAGCAGAAGCACACACCAAATCTGCAAAACCAGACACTAATTATCTGCCTTTGACTCAGTTTTCAATTTCATAAAACACTTTTTGCAAAACACAACACACAACTATCCATGTAACACACAAAAATCTAACAGGAATTAATATTATGGCAAAGGTGTTTGCTTGTGAGATGTGTTTGTGATATTTTGAAAGCAGTGCTTTGCGAGAGATGTGAGGCATTTTGTATCTGCCTTTGACTCAGTTTTCAATTTCATAAAACACTTTTTGCAAAACACAACACACAACTATCCATGTAACACACAAAAATCTAACAGGAATTAATATTATGGCAAAGGTGTTTGCTTGTGAGATGTGTTTGTGATATTTTGAAAGCAGTGCTTTGCGAGAGATGTGAGGCATTTTGCATTTTGTGCGTGCAGTTGAAAATGTGAAAATGTGTGTAAGCAGCTGAAAAAAAAACTGTAATATCCTAATGAATTGTGGCATAAAATAAATGGATAGTTTTGACCCATACAATGTATTGTTGGCTATTGCTACAAATATAACTGTGCTGCTTATGACTGCTTTTGTGCTCCAGGCTCACTTTTTTTTTTTTGCCAAACATTTACCAAACATTTTGTGTTTTGTTGCAGCTCTCAAATCTCATTTACACTAGC